GTGTCCTTTGAATGAGCCATTCCACGGCTCAAAATTCATCCTTTGAAAAATATCAACACACGTGTACAAAGTTACCTCTATGGGAATATTTATCATAACAATGTTAAAAAGAAAAACTGAAAATAGTCCAGAAGTCCACCAATAGAATGTTAAATAAATATAATAGAACATTATCGTATAAAATGTGATTGATATATATGACATAGAAAATTGTCTAATAAATAAAAGTAAATTGCAATCTAGTGCATATGGTATCCTGTTTTTGTTGTGTCTATGTGTGTGTGAGCATGTTTGTATATATGTGCTAGAATATACATAGAAAAAAGATAAGAAAATATATACTAAATATCTTTGGGAAAAGGTTACAGGTTCGGTTACATATTATTACAATATTGTTATTATCATAAATATTATGACTTGGAGAAAGCTATTGTTGATACTAATGAAGCCATTATAAATAAACATCTTTATATGACACTACTCTCTGAGAATAATTTTAGAATAAATTTAGATGTCTCAGAGATTGAAGGATATAGTTCTTTATATTTCAATATAAATGAAGCTGAAGTTCTACTATTTTTCAGAACTCTTGGTCTTAACCAAAAATGACTCTCTGGAACTAAATGAATATCTAAGCTTTTATGTCAGATTGTATTCACACTTAATTTATTTTAATCTATTAATTTTAAACATAAAAACATCTGATATGGACTCAATATTTAAATGTCACCAAAATCTCCCCACCGCCAAAATAAATTATGTTGAACCCCTAACCCCCAATGTGAAGTATTTGGAGGTGGGGCCTTTGGGAGGTTATACTGGGTCATGCGGCCCCAGGGCTTGTGATGGGATTAATTACCTCACAAAAATAGGAAGGAAGCAGACTCCCTCCCCGCATGCTCCAAGGAAGGCCATGTGAGGACAGAACCAGCCAGAGGGCCCTCACCAAAAGCCTGACCATGCTGGCACTCTGATCTGAATTTCCAGCTTCCAGAAGTGAGAAGTAAGTGTTTATCATTTAAGTCACCCAGGCATTCTGTTATATCAGCCAGAACTAAATAAGACAGCATCCAGTGTAGAAGACTGCAAGCTAGAGCGCCACCCCCCCCGTCCCTTATGACAAAAACAAAACTAAGCAAAACAAATTCTAACTGATGTTGGTAAAATCTTTTGAGTTTCAGAAATATTAGAGTATGTTGCTTGTAACCCTAATGTCAAAGATGCAAAATAAAAAGATAGAAATCACTGAAATGATAGTTTCAGAATAACTGTAGGTAGTAAAATGGTAAGCTGCCCTTCAAGAATTTATAGGGTTAGTAATGTTTAGCCAGGCTTGTCTGATAGGTTAGATGTAATTACTACTTCAGATGAGACTAACATTCACAGGCCCATACGTGAGCTTGTCACAACTCACCCTTCCTCTTACCAGGCACTGCACATACATTTTCTCTACATGCATCGTCTCACTCAATCCCCATCACAATCCACATCACAGATTTTATTACACCTATCCCACAGACGGAGAACTGCAGGCTCTCAGAAGTTAACTTGCTCAGTGTCACAGAGCTAGAACAATCATAAACAGATATATGTAACCAACAATGTATCCAAATATATTAGGCAAATAGTAAGAGACCTGGAGGGGTAAATACACAACAATACAGTAACAGTCAGGAACTTCAATAATCTCATTTCCAACAATAATGAGATCATCTAGGCAGAAGATTAATAAGGAAATGTTGGACTTTAGACCAAATGGACCTAACAGACATATAGAGAGCATGCCGTCCAACAGCTGCAGAACACACATTGTTTTCAAGTTGCATGCAGAACGTTCTCCAGGGTAGATCATATACTAGGTCATAAACCAAGTCTTAACAAATTTAAGAAGACTGAAGTCATACCAACTATCTTTTCCAACCACAATGGTATGAAACCAGAAGTCAATAACAGAAAGAAAACTAGAAAATTCACAAGTATATTAAAATTAAATAGTACACTCCTGAACAACCAATAGGTCAAACAACTAATCAAAAGGAGAATAAAAAAATATCTTTAAACAAACAAATATGGAAATACAACACACCAATACTTATGGGATACAGGTAAAGTTTATAGTGATAAATGCCGACAGTAAGAAAAAAGAAAAGACATAACAACCTAACTTTATGCCTCAAGGAACTAAAAACAAACAAAATAAAACAAAAAAAAAACACAAAAAAAACTAAGCCCCAAATTAGCAGAAAGAAGAAAATAATAAAGATCACAGATTGGTAGGAATGTAAATTGGCACAGCCACTATGGAAAACTGTATGGAGGTTCCTAAAAAAATTAAAAATGGAACTGCCTTCTGACCTAGCAATTCCATTTTTGGGTATATATCTGCAGAAATCCAAAATACTAATTTGAAAGAATACATTCACCCATATGTGCATTTCAGCATATTATAATAGCCAGGTTATGGAGTCCCATAAATAGGTGAGTGGATAAGAAAGTGGTGGTACATATATGCAGTGGAATTACTCAGCCATAAAAAAGGATGAAATCTTACCATTTGCGGCAACATGGGTGGACCTAGAGGGTATTATACTAAGTGAAATAAGTTAATCAGAGAAAGACTAATACCATATGATTTTACTTATATTTGAAATCTAAAGAACAATATAAATGAACAAACAAAACAGAAACAGACTTATAGATACAAAGAACAGACTGATGGTTGCCAGAGGGGAAGGAGGATGGGGGACTGGATGAAAAAGGTGAAGGAATTGAGAAGTTCAGATTGGTAATGATAAAATATGTAAAGCACAGCATACGGAATATAGTCAATGATACTGTGATAACTATGTGTGGTGCTGGAAATATCAGGGGGAACGCTTTGTAAAGTATATGATTGCCTAACCACCATCTGCACACCTGAAACTAATACAAAATAATACTGAATGTAAACTGTAATTGAAAAATTTAAAAAATCCTTTTAGAAACATCAAGAGAGAGCTTCTTCTACTTAACACCACGTTCATCAGGTCCTATTCATCAAGGCTGGGAGGGTACACCTGGAATGTTAAAACTGCCACCAAGTAAGTCCTGTCTCCCCCAGGAGCTCATGAAAGAACAGGCTGCTGGCTACCAGGGCTTGTCTCATGCTTACTTTGTATCTGACAAAGAATGATGCAGAACTTTCTGAAATTAATCCCAGCATCCCAAGACTTAAATTAAAGCCAGGGGTAGTAAAATGTTGTAACAAAATCTCGAAAAGACATGATCGTTCCTTTCTAGACAATTAGGCTTTTAGAATTTTACGTGGGAAAAATGCATTACAATATTATAATCAGTATGAAGGAATCTCATTGAATCTCAATAATAAAAAGACAAAATTGCTATATACGGTATCTTAATAGGTGTGCATTATGTAGCTAGTCTCCTTTGGTTGAATGTGATGTGGGACAGGTGTCTGTGATTGCTTAGGTGTAAAATACATTTGCATACATTGATCACAAGTATTTGTTCAGTATATAATAGACAATCATAACTGATCACAGGCAATATGAATATTAAAATGATTTCTACTTATATGGTGCTTTTTACTTTCAATGATTTTTCATGTCTATTAAGTAATTTTTATCTCCACAATAGCCTGTGAAATAATTAGGTAACATTGTCTTCAAAAGATTGTGAATAAGCTATTCTTTCCTATTTTGAAATGTTACTCTTTTCTCTAATTATAGTTACACCAAGGGAGCTGAATAAGCTTTATTATTACAAAGGTTTTTGTGTTTTTTCTTTCTACATGTGGAGTCAATAAAAGGAGCTTGTAAGACACCAAGTTTGTGGTTAAGGAATGTATATACATGTGTGCATGGAGATTTGTTAGACTCCAAAACTACAAATTCACTTCATCTATCTATATAAAACCCTAATATGCAAATCGACCGAACTGCAGAACGACAGGTGGAATGACTGGTGGCTATGATGTGCACTGACCACCAGGGGGCAGATGCTCAATGCAGGAGCGGCCCCCAGCCCACAGGCCCTGACAGTGGTTGGGAGGGTGGGGTAGCGGCAGGGGGTGGGGCCAGCAAGCAGGCAGCACCAGGCCAGCCAAGGCGGGTGCGAGCAGAGTACACCTCCCCGCCGCCCCCCCCACCCCACCCCCGATTGCTCCACAGATTGGCCCTGATTGCCGGCCAGGGCCAGCCATGCCTAGGGACACTACCTGTGCTCAAATTTTGTGCACCAGGCCTCTAGTACATAAATAAGAAGGACCCAGCTGACCTTGTCTCCTTTCCATGTACTTTTGCAGACACTCTCCATTCACTCTGATGCAATCTTTTGCTTTTTTAACAAATTTTTTTTTCTGGATGATGGAGCCTGCTTTCCTCCCACCACTTCCCCCGAATCCACCCCCTAATTAAACTCCTTAATATGCCACACTCCAAAATTTTTCACTGCTTTTATTCCTTATCAAAATCTTTATAGTTCTTTGATTTCACTTGGTATTTTGCTGGTCTTATTTGAATAAACTAAATTATACCAAGGTACTGGAACTGTTTGATATATCACCTCACCTGAGAAAATTAAATCTATAAAATGAACTGAAGAGGCAATAGTTCTTTTCTTTTTTTAAAAAAATACACATTTTTATTGATTTCCAAGAGGAAAGGGAAGGGAGAGAGAGATAGAAATATCAATGATGAGGGAGAACCCTGGACCAGCTGCCTTCTGCACACCCTCCACTTGGAATCGAGCCCGCAACCTGGGCATGTGCCCTTGAATGGAATGGAACCTGGGAACCTCCAATCAGCAGGGTGACACTCTATCCACTGAGCCAAACCAGCTAGGGCACAATAGTTTCTTATTTAAAGGGATAATCAGAGAAAGCAGAGCTTCAGACAGTGTGACAGGAAAGCTAGGTCTTCCTGGTTTTCCTTCAATCTAGAATAAAGCTGCCCAGTGCATGAAGGCTAAGAAGGCAACGTGTTTTGCCTGGACGTACTTACAGGTCACCGTGGATGAGTCCGTAGATCTGTGGCATGCTCTGATGATAGATTCCTCTCAAAATTACTATGAGCAGAATCACCACAAAAGCTGGAAGTCCCCAGCTCAGAAGGAAAAACAGCAGATAGCGCCTCTCTGTGTGTTCATCATTCATCACCAGTACGTACCAGAAATTCACAGACTAAGAAAGGAGAGAGAACATACAATGAACAGGCTCTGGTCTAATGGCACAGGACACAAATTCAACTGACTTAGGTATAAAGAGCAAAAGGCTAGGATCTACTTAAAAATTATAGTTTTGAGTTGATTTTTTTAAGTTAGTTCATATACTCATTCTTTCATATACCCAAAGTATTCAGGATATCTCAAAAGTCGGTTTTTATTTACCGAGGGCCTCTCATATGGTGGGGCCAGGCACTGTTCCACGAAAAGGGGGTACACTTGTGAAGATAAACCCAGTCTCAGCCTCCCCCCACCACCCTGAAGCAGGAGACATAAGCAAGTCAACAGAAAATGATTGCACAGTGATCAAGTACTGTAATGGGGTAGGTTTTGTGGCTGTTTTTCCTTCTCAGTTTATATTGCTCTCCTTTTCAATCACTCACTTGAGAAGCATTTATTGCTTGTTTACTAAATTTCAGGGACCAGTTTGGGCACTAAGGCAGTGAAAGATTTGGGGGGAGGTATTTACTTTCCTGAATCTAAGTGTCCAAACAAGTAGAAAAATAATTAAGGGAAACATGTATTATATTGTCTCTGTGCCCCGGCTGGGATTCTCATTGGTTAGAGCCTCGGCCTGTGCACCGAAGGGTCGCAGGTTTGATCCCCAGTCAAAGGCACACACCTCTATTGACATTTTGCTTTTGTCCCCTGTCGGGATGCATGTAGGAGGCAACCAGTTGATGTGTCTCTCTCACATGGATGGTTCTCTCTCTCTCTCTCTCTCTCTCTCTCTCTCTCTCTCTCTCTCTCTCTCCCCCTCCCTCCCTCCCTCCCCTCTCTCTCCTTTCTCCTTTCTCCGAAAAGCAATGGGAAAAAAAATCTCAGGTGAGGATTATCAAATAAAAAAAATATATTGTATACGTATCATATTTTATATCTATTATTTCTTATCTAAGATAAACATATAAAAGGGACAATTTTATAGAGGGGGGAGTGAGGGGATACAGTAGATAGATGGAATAAGGAAACGGAGGACTGGAAATATTATTGGCTCCAAACACCACACCTAGCTTATATGTAAGCCACATCTAGAACTTACATATTCTGTCTTCTAGTGTTCTCTTTCCCTGAGGAGGACTTATGTTCAATTTAGTAAAAGTAAATAAATAAATAAAATTTAAAAAGACCAAAAATGTCATGTCATATATACTTCACACAATTAATACTTACTCACTGGAAAATTTCCCTTCTCAATTTCATAGGGTAGAAAGGGTGTGAGTACAGACGAAATACACACACACACACACACACACACACACACACACACACACTAGCGGGAAAACGCTGGACAAGTAACAACAATCCCAGAACCTCTGTTTCCTCGTGTGAACAATGAGGTTGTTACAAAGATTAAATGAGATATGACAGATGAAGTGCTGACCACATAGTCACCATGGGAAAAATATTACCAATTCCTTCAAAACCTCCAATTAGGATGTCAGATAGTATGAAAGCAAAAGTAAGCAGGGATACCATGGAATTTCTTTCTATGTGAAAAAAAATACATGCCTAATTTAGTGTGAAAATTTTCAGATGCTCTTTGCTGAGGCTTCCAAGAAAGATTCTATCTGAACCAAATTAGCCTTGAGGAATTAGTATTGATTGGGCTAAACCAAGAAAGGATTGACATGTTTGGTTACTTGGAGATTTTTGTCTCTGAATTTTATGTCCTGTCAGCACTCCTTATCTTTATGTACATCTGCTTATATCTGTAATTATGAAGCATGTTACGAGCTGTTGCTTATGTAACTGTCCTAACTTATTTTTAAAAATTATTACATCCAAGAGGGTTCCCCCTTCCTCTCCACCCCCGATTTTTCTATAATTAGTATAGAAATTGATACAAATAAGTGAAATTGTACCAAATGTCTCATGCTAAGGTGATCCATGCTGCCTGTTTTCATGCAAAATAAGGATGATTGGCCCATGTCCAAAATAAAAGTACTAATTATTTAAATAGATGTCTGTGTGTATCCAGGCAACATGGTAATTCAGTGGTGCAGTTGGTGGAAGAACCAGGGAGGAGAGAACAGATTGATAAATGTCTCCTAAGTTGATTCATCATGATAAAGATCGGGACACATCCAAAACGTCTGCTTTTACAGCACTGGACATGAGTTCCATCAGCTCGATCCCCAGACCTTTCAGCGATTGTCTGACCTTTACCACAGACTCAGATAAGACTGGGACAAGTGTAATTGTCAGATTTATACATGTAATACTTCGGCTCCAAAGAGCTCTAGGCATGGTGTTGCTGAATTCTTGAGTACTCAGTTAAGCAAGACAAGCTCAAAAAATCAGCCCTGACTGGTTTGGCTCAGCAGGTATAGCGTCAGCCTGCAGACTGAAGGGTCCCAGGTTCGATTCCGGTCAAGGGCATGTACCTGGGTTGCGGGCACATCCCCAGTAGGGGGCGTGCAAGAGGCAGCTGAATTGATGTTTCTATCTCATTGATGTTTCTAACTCTGTACCCCTCTCACTCTCCCTTCCTCTCTGTAAAAAAATCAATAAAATATATTTTAAAAAATCATAAGCTTTCATCAATAAAAAATAATCCCTTTCCTTCTCAAATGAATCCAATCACTGAGGTATACTCTAAGTACAGTATTTCCCATTATATATTTTTGCTATAAAATATAAATACTAATACACACACACACTACATAATGATACATTTAATTATTCTAGAAAATATATGGCCCAAATATAAGATCATTTTTGACTAAGGTTTACTTCAATTTTGACACATTTTAATAGAGTAGGTTACATTTGGGGACATGACTAGGTCATGTGCTCTCCTTCTCTGAATCTTGTCCCTACTCCTACTCATCTCCCCATACCACCCCTCCTACATAACACATTCTAGCTGGGCTCATGGCCCTGCCACTCTGTCCACAGCTGCTTTGCTCCAAGGGAGAAGCCTAACCTAGGCTGGACCAATTACCTCTCATTGAATTCCTTAAGTTTTGATCATAGTCTAAATTGGTCAACTGAGACATGAGGACACATGAACGTTAGTGGTGGGGTAGCCAAAACACAGCGGAGACAGAGGAGTGTTTTCGGAGAATACGAATCGACAAAACCTTCCATTTATGCTCACAGTCCCTTGTGAGGTCAAACTGTATTTACAGTTCTTGGGTTCAATGAGTTATCTTATATGCTATTATTCTTTTTATGATTTGAATGCTTCTTGAATTAACCCAACTTAGTGTTTTCTTCATTGTCCCCCACACTTCCATCCTAACCCTCCCTCCAAAAAAAACCAACAAAAAACGAACTTAACTAAGATTGTGTTAAAAGCTCCAAATACTGCCATTATATAAACAAAAAAGAAGACAGTAGAACATTTGAGTATATTGCTTTCCGTATAATCATGGCTCTTTGTTTGGAAACTAAGGTAAATATATGAGGACAAAAAAAAAAAGAGTATGAAGACACCATATGTTTGCATAATAATTTTATGCTGACAGGTATATAGCATATGTGATCAGTGTGCCTCAGTGTCTTCTGTGTGTTTATCCAATATTAAAACTAACAAAATTATCAACACAAGTGAAAGGGTGTCAATCTCAGCAAACATGCTTCTCTCGTATTGAGCAGGCTTACCATTCACTGGCTATCTTACATTTTTCCTGCTAAAGATTAAATGTGAAATGAAAATTTTAATATCTAGACCTGTATTTACATTTCTATCTCTAAGTTTTGAAAATTTTGTTAGAACTGTCTTATGGACTATCTCAAGACAAAAGAACCATGTAGTCAAAATGTTACTATCCCCAATATAACCAATTATATTAATTCAACTTGACTACAATTCATATGCACAGATACAAAGTTTCTGAGCATTGATGTGATGTAGCCTCTGAAGGTAGTCCAAAAAGATTAAAAAGTATTTCTGCACTAAAAACTATCAAATTACCCACCTTGAAAGGGTTAACTGAATAAACTTTTCTGTAGTATGTTTAAAAATCTGTGTTGTTACCATAGAGATCTTTAATGTTAATGCTAACCATTGGTATATTTAAATGACCACCTTCATATTTTTGCCATTGCTGATTAAGTTATATATCATTTAATCAAGATAACTTTTCTCTTAAGTTTTATTATAATTTTTTAACACAGGAGTAAACTGAAAACGGAGGAATTATCCTATCTAATAATAGACAAACATGGTAATTAGCCGTAACTTCGCTACCCATGGGCTAATCAGGGCGATATGCAAATTAACTGCCAACCAAGATGGCGGCTGGCAGCCAGGCAGCTGAAGCAAACAGGAGGCTTGCTTGCTCCAGTGAAGGAGGAAGCCAACGTTCCCCGCCTGCTGCTGCCGGCCTCTGAGCTGCACTCTAAGCAACTATGTTGCAATTATAGAAGCTAAACAAGCTCCAGATACCTGCTTTCAGCCAGCTTCGGCCTCAGAGCTTAGAGCGGCAGTGATGGCAACAATGTTTCAATTATAGAAGCTAAACTAACCCAGATACCTGCTTTCAGCCAGCCACAGCCTCAGAGCTGGAGCCGGGTCTCAGCTCCAGTGACAGCTATAGAAGGTAAATAAATCCCAGAATAAAAAAAAATAAAAATAAAATAAAAAAAAACAGAAAGAAAGGAGAGGCTGGGAGCTTCAGTTGCCCGCCAGCCTGAAAACAGCTCTCAGCCCCTCACCCAGACTGGCCAGGCACCCCAGTGGGGACCCCCACCCTGAAGGGGGTGCGACCAGATGCAAACAGCCATCATCCCCTCATCCAGGCTGGCCAGGCACCCAAGCGGGACCCCCACCCTGATCCGGGACACCCTTAAGGGCAAACCAGCCGGCCCCCACCCGTGCACCAGTCCTCTATCCTATATAGTAACAGGGTAATATGCAAACTGACCCTAACAGCAGAATGACTGGGAATGACTGGTCACTATGACACACACTGACCACCAGGGGGCAGATGCTCAATGCAGGAGCTGCCCTCT